AAGGAGTAACGGTAAATAGTTACTTTAAATATTTGATATAAAGAAATTGATAACTACCCACAAAACTGATAATTTGGTCGGTTACTTTTTTTTTGCTTTTTGGTTAATTTTAGAAACAGATTTAAAAATTATAATTTACAGTTACATTACGTTAAATTTTAAAATTGTTTTAAAATTTTATCTCATTTAAATGTAAGAATTGATTTAAAATATTTTTTAAAAATAAAATAGTAGATTATTATTCAAACTAATTAAACATCATTAATTTTAAAACTATTTATGTGGTGCTGACACGTGACACTTTTTCTTATCCTATTATATATAGATAGATATAGATATAGATATATATTATTATTATTATTTTTTTTTTATTTTTATTTTTTGAAAACTGAAAATGAAAGACTGTAACATGTCTTTTAAAGAAACTGAAACGTTTTTTTAATTTTAAAAAACTAACAATTTTAATTGGGGTAAAAAAACTTTAACTGTTCTTTTAAAACAGTAACTTTTTTTCTTTGATTAAAATATTGAATTAATTCTATTTAATTAATTGATAATTTAAAAGTTAAAATTAGAGATTAATTGTGGTGTTGACACATAGACGCTATCACCTCTCCTATTATATATATATATAGATTATTTGGACGAATGAATACGAAACTATTATTAAGTTATAATGTTGTAGTACCCTTAAGACGGAACCTATCAATGAAGGTGCACACACTTTAGCACCTTTTTTTAAAAAATAAAATAAATTAAAATCCACTTTTCACCTTAACACCTATACTAAAGAATCAATTAATTAAGCGAGGTGAAGTGCATAACCTGAAATTTGGTGAGCTTCAGGATTAATGGATTTAAGCAAGCTTTAACACCACAATCAAAAAGCCAAAGAAATATGAAAATTAATGTAGCAAATACGGTAATTCAAGCGATTTTAGAGGGAATAAGGAGAAATCTAAACGATATATCATTATTAGTGAACCTTTTACTTTTGAAGGTTATACATTGCAAGTATTTGACTTAGGTGAGCTTGTAGGTGAATTTCAAGATAATTGAAAGTAAGAATTGACACAACAGAACAAGTCAAGAGTCGGGCAAGAGGAACAATATTTCCATTCTTCTTATCACTATGAGGTGGTGAAATGTTTGCAGTAAGTCTTAGCAATTCAGTGCCCCATATATGCTTTATGATTGTGAAAAACTGTTTTAGCTTATAGAAAATTTGGAATTAGAAATTTCAAGTTTAGTATAGCTAAAGCCACATTATAAGAATTGGATTTAAAATTCTTGACACAGTGAACAAACTAACTAAAAGGCAGAAAAAGAATCAAGTACATTCTCTCCACGGTAAAAAATCAAAGGGAAGGAGGAGAAGTAAATCAGAAGACAGTAGAAAGAGGAAGATAGTTGATGGCTTATGGGAGCAAATATCATGCTATGCTAGTGCACAAGAGAGAAGCTATCTGCTTTCTCAATCAACTTAACGCGGTGATTCTAATAGCATAAACGGTATAACTACAACGACTTTATGCAGCTAGGAAACAACATTATCAGTTGAGAATTTGCTAAGAACTAATGGACTATTCTTTAAATGTTCGAACGAGACTTCCATCAAACATATTATGTGCAAAGGAAATTAGACTTCCACACTTGAAAGCAGATATTAGACTATAATTAGGAACATTCAAAAATGCTATTAAATTCCAATAGATATGCCTAGTGAATTGGTTAGAGCAAATTCCAATAGGTATCACCAGGTAACTTTTCCTTCCCTCCGCTTCTAATTCTTAATATATCCTTCTTCATACTCAATTTTGATCTAAATCCCTGCAAGAACCAATTCGTAACTATGATGTGAAAATTTAAACACCTTGTGCTAACTAAGATGATATTACATATTAGTAAAAAGTGTACAAAGACCTACCTTTATATGAATTATCACAATTCCACCTCTTCCTTTCTCAAGTGCTACTTTTTTGGGTTCCTCATCAAAGAAACAAAGAAGTTTGAAACACAAAAACAGAGACTGAACCACACAAATATGAAAGAAGGGCGGAATGAGTTTAAACTGAAAGTTCGAGAAGAAGATAAATTAAAAAGTGAAAGCATATATAAACTATATTAGAAGAGTGGGTATTATTTGAGGTATCAACATGTCTGCTTGGGGTCTTTTTTTTATTATCTGAGGGTATTGTGGTAAATTCAACCTGTTGTCCCACCTTCTGCTTACTCCACGTGGTTGTGTGTCCTTCGGTTTATTGTGCGTGGCTCCATGTCTGCTTTCCACGGATCTTCATCTATTGAAAAGGAAAAAGACGGAGCTATTTCTCTTCAAGTTTCTTCAGCTACTGCTATTGCCTCTTCAATCTTTTCAAGTACTCTTCAATTTCAAGGTAATTTTTTCTTCTTTCCCTGCCTTCCTCTTCATTTTTTTTAGATCTGTTTTCTTGTGTTAAGTTTTTTCCCTTCACATGTTTTCCTCTCGGTTCTCTTCAGAGCTTCATTGCATTTGGCTGAACCGATTTATAAAGCTTTGGTTTTAGATTTAGTTTTATGGGGTTATGAAGTTTGTGTAAAGATATGATATTTGGATCTAACTTAATCTCAAAAGCTAGCTCACGAGGGGAGATTTGTCCGAGTCCATATAAGGAGACCAAATTTTCCATCCCTCTACCGATGTGGGACATCTTAACATTCCCCCGCATGCCCAGACCTCAACTGGAGCGTGAACACTTCTAAATAGGGGTCCATCATTGGTGAACAACAAATTGGATGGGCCTGACTGTGATACCATGTAAATATATGACACTTGATCCTAACTCAACCCCAAAAGCTAGCTCATGAGGAGAGGTTTGTCAGAGTTCATATAAGGAGACCAAATTTTTCATCCCTCTATCGATGTGGAACATCTTTAACAGTTTGAATTTGAGAAGACGCAATAAAAAATAAAACGAACTAAACTTCAATTTTGAGACACAACCCCCAACTAATTAGAGTTCTGCCAGTTAAGTGTTTTCCTAAAAATAATATATATGTAGATTGTTAAGTAAAAATTGTCATCAGTTACCAAAGCGGTGGTCCACATAGTAACCTTTGTATTTAACGATATCTTTATTGATGTTCAAAGATTAATATTAGTTAAGCCACCACAGCTTAGCTATTTATATATGTGAACGGAAGGAAAAGACACATTTTGCTTTTGATTAGCCATAGTTTTGAGGAAGTTGTATGAACATATAGGGAAAAGAATTACCGTTGTGCCTTTTAGGCAAGCTTCGTGTGATGAGTTTTGTACCTGAAACTTCGCAGGTAAAAGATTAGCAATTCAACTAATTCCATAAGCATTTAGAATAACTTCATTGGAAGATTTGATAGTATAGATCATTTACAATTGCTAATATAGTGATATAACAAGAAATTAATAACAAAAGAGATTTGTAAATAAGATATGAACTACCCCTGTTAATGCATATGCACCTATAAAAGGAATAAGTGTGTTTTGATGTTCGCATGGTTTGATTGTGATATTCCTCCTGTTCACATAATGCGTCGCAAAGACATTTTTGTTACACTTGAAAATTATGTGTTTAGGGACTTACCTGGCTAAAATTTTAGATTCATATCGACGGGCACTCGATCGATTGAGTAATTTCCAAGTTTGTTTTTTCTTTTACAAAATTTAAAGTGGCTAAATAAATGGTTCATCTGTATATGTATGATGTCACCTAATGACAATGTTGAGCCACAAGGAATACACTCCTCTCTTTTCTTAGTTGTGATGACATTTTCTCTGTGTAGCATACCAAAAAATGAAGAGGCATAACACTTGAAGAAGATTTCCAGAAGAGGCCCTACTACTAAAGTAATTCCGCATGACAAGTTTCCGTTTCATTGTTAGAATGAATTTTTTTCCAGTTTAGAGAATATTAGTTTATTCACAGATGTATACGTGGTTATAGTGTCATTGTGTTATTTGGCAACTCTTCCCCTGTCTGAGGGGAAAACTCAAATAACCATATTGGTTCCTAATTCAGAGATGTATAATTAATGGAGTTACATTCAAGTAGCTGCATGAGGTGGTTATATATAGTGTCACAATTATGTTATTGGCAAAATTGATGTATTTAAGCTATCATACATTTTTTAAGGAATTGTATCTTATTGACATAATTAATCATGTTTGCTGAAAATGACCTTTTTGCTTGAGATTTCATTCTCAATGTATGATTAGTTAACATTAGTTGAAGGAAAAGTTTCTTCGTTAAAAAGTAATTGCCATTCTAAAGAAGTATAAGTAAGGACTGTGTTGCAAAGCTCGGAGGATATCAGTACCATCCTCTATTACTTGTCAACACATGCTTATTTGATATGTTAGTCTTTTAATAAACATCTTATCTGGAATCAACTTGCCCCTTTAAAAGCCAACCTTATCACTTGAAAAGTGAAATTGCACTCTCTACTTAGTTTAGTGACTTAATTTATGCAAATAACACTTTATGCAACAGCCAAAAATAGTCTGGAAACACGTTGTCACAGAAGTGTTGGCACGGGCCAATATTATCTAGTAAATTAAGAAAAAGAGGAGTAAGCTTAATATTGAAGTGTCATTCTGATAACGAAAACGAAGATATCGCATGCTTTTCTTATTAAACTTAATATTGGGGTTTTCTACCTTTTGCATGGGAACAACGATCCTATGATGTTGGGCTCATGCTAAGAAAATACCAATGACCACAATGTGACTATAAGAAGTATAAACAAAAAACCAATAAAGGCACGGATACAAAAAAACACAAAACAATAAGATGATAAAAGAAGGAGAAAAAAATTGCGAAAATTGTAGAGAACAACATACCTATGATGAGAGAACACAACCGGATAAATGAAAAGAGACCAAGAAGATAAAAAAGAGCATATAGTTGAATGTGAATAAAGATACAAGAAATAAGAAATTCGTAACAAATTATCAAGGACCATAATAACCTTAGGAGTCCTTTGGTTCATTGGATAAGGTGGCATAGCTCATTTGTGAAACACACTTCACAACCACATTTATGGAACAACAAATACATTTTGTTTGATCGTTCTATTTTGCTTAAACATTAAGTCTTTTAGATAGTTTAGTTAGAATTGCAAAGGTGTCTATCTATAATCAGAGAGACTCATATATATACTTGCTAAGGGGAAGAAGTGCATGCCTTCATGCTTTTAGCTTTGTTTAGTTGATTTTGAAAAATCCTATATTCATTCTAGTGACAAGTTGCAAACAAGGTAATACTTCTAACAAATAACGGAAACAATGAAAATAGAAGTAGCTTATGGGGAGAATAGTGATGATACCTTAAATGGACCAAAGATTAGTATTTGTTAGCTATTCATTTGAAACCTCAAAATCTCCCTTTTGAAAACGGCTTCGAGTATCCACATTGTAGCTGATAATATGAAGCTGTCGAGATGAAGATACTACAGACCATATCGTGACTTCGTAAACCTGAGAAAACTTACCAAGAAAGAAACCAAAAAAGAGGCGGGAGAAAGCTCGGAAAAGTTGGGCAAACATGACAGATATTTGGCGGAGGGCTAACACCACGATAAAAATAATTCTCAAACAACAAACTCAACTTCCTTCTCCTTGACCAAAACAAGAACATTATTAATTAAATTAAAGAAGGGGCAAACAATTAAAGGAAAGTGATAGCTTTTAGTGAGAAAGAACCTTTTTTCCAACTCATAATTCTCTATCAGCAGTGAGACAATGCTGATACTTCTAGCGAGTAGTAACACTCTTAAAACGTTTTTTTTTGTTCAAGCAAAATCTCTATGGTGTAGCAAACTGAACGTTCTACTTTTAGTGAACTCGTTGAACAAAATAAAATCATCGTACAACGCAAAACTCTCATCACAACTCACTATTCTAGCTCAAAAGTCTGAACCAAATTTTATCTTGCTGAAACCAACCACCCCTGATTTGTGTAGAAAGGAATAAAGAAATATCATATATATCCTTCAATTTAAATTATTTGCCTAATTTTAATTTGACACGAAATTTAAGAAAGTAAGAAGAAGGAACTGATCCAAAAGACAAAATACCCTACTTTGTTTTAAATAACTAAAAAGTACAAATTATCTAACTTTTATTGCACAATGTACAATAAGATTATGTTGTGGTCGTCCTAGCTCATCATACTTCTATATAGTAGAAAAATATATAATAGATATATATGACCACAAATTATGAGTTTGAGTTAACTTCTAAATAGATTTTTTAAGAGCATTTATCTTAACTTATGTGTTAACTTACTTCTGAGGTTATAAATATATTTTTTGAGAAATGTTTTTTTTAAATCATTAATTTCATTTAGAAGGATATTATTTGCTAAGCCATTGAGAATATCATTTCAATTGGATATCTTGATTTGTATCTCTCTCAATTTTTTTTAAATTTTTTTTTGCATTAAACATCCCATAAAAATTAAAAATATTATTAATACGTATTATAAATTAATATACATACAAAACTCTTCCAAAATCTAATATAATGAAATATATTGTGTCAAGTAAAACTAATAATTATTTAAAATAAATTTGAGATGAAACAAATACTCCAGCATAATAATTTAATCATACATTAGAATGTCAAGATTTTTACTTGGATCATCTTATTGTGCTTGAGTA